CATATAGTGGGTCACTTTCTAAAATCTACATAAGTAGATTCCTGAATTGGTACAGGTTGCTTCATATTTATTCCAGGCAACAAAGTGAAATAGTAGAGAATCACAGAATCAGAGGCTGACAGGTACATCAATAACAGATAAAGAAATTAAAGAATTCTGGGCTGGGCGTTGTGGCTCATGCCTGTAATTCCAGCACTTTGGGAGGCCGAGGCAGGTGGATAATGAGGTCAAGAGATCAAGACCATCCTGACCAATATGGTGAAACCTCGTCTTTACTAAAAATACAAAAATTAGTGGGGCGTGGTGGTGAGTACCTGTAGTCCCAGCTATTCAGGAGACTGAGGCAAGAGAATCGCTTGAACCTGGGAGATGGAGGTTGCAGTGAGCTGAGATTGCACCACTGCACCCCAGTCTGGCCACAGAGTGAGACTCTGTCTCAAAAGAAAAAAAAAAAAAAAGAATTTATGTTCCAGTGTTCCAGTATGTATGCTATCAATATCTTCATTCTAGAGCTGTTAGCGTTTAATATCTATATACATGAATAATATATATCATATTTTACAAATATGTGTTTTCATTGAAAAAGAAGATACTGCTATTTTGGCTTAATATTTATTGAAAATGCAAACATTTGTGGGATAAATATACTGATTGGCTTATTTTTCTAGGACATTCCTTTGCTCAGTATACCTCACCAAAATCTACAAATAAAAAATGCGTCAAGATTTTTGTTTTCGTTTGCCCTGGGTTTTCCTTTTGTTACTGGTTGGCTTTGCAGAAATATGTGTGCTGAACCGGTTGCTAAACAGGTTTTTCTTTTCTTTTTTTTTTTTTTTTTTTGAGATAAGGTCTCGCTTTGTCACTCAGGCTGGAGTGCAGTAGCGAGATCCCGGCTCACTGCAGCCTCCACCTCCTGGGCTGAAGTGATCCTCCCACTTCAATGTCCTATGTAGCTGGGACTAGAGCCATGCCACCATGGCCAAGTAATCAACTCATTTTTGTGTACTTTGTAGAGATGGGTTTCACCATGCTGCTCAGTCTGGTCTCAAACTCCTGTACACAAGTGATCCTCCAGCTTTGACCTCCCAAACCGCTGGAATTGCAGGCATGAAATACCACGTCTGGCCTTAAGCAAGTTTTTCTATGTCATATTTGTCAAATTAGACACTAATATTGATCAAATCTAATAATTGTGTTAAGTTGTAAGCTCGAAGGATAGGAAGAGGTTGGGTTTGTGGCCAAATTGGAGAATATAAGCTGCTTCTACAGGCATTTAAGTTCAAAATTTTCAAGAAAATTGACTGGTCAAATAAAAAATATCTGTAAGCTCAACTGGTCCACAGATCACCAATTTGAGATTTCTTGTCCAAAGATATTTAAAACTTTTAGGGAACAAAACTTCGATAACATTGACAATAATTATATAATTTCAATAGTGTAATTTATCTGATGCTTAAAATAGATGAGGATTTTTTTCTCTGATGATTGATAAGCATAAAAAGATGAAATCATTTTGGGTATAGGCTTAGCCAAAGATAGGAAATATGTTGTATTAATAGATGATTGTATTTACTCTCCTATACAAGGTTTGTGTCTGGAAATGTTTTTAGTCCTGATTTATGTCACTATATTGATTAACATGAGAACAAGAGTGATGTTTCAGATATGGAGTATGATTTTATAAATGTTAAGGCACCAAGCAAGCCCTATGTTGGCCTTTTTTAAAAAAAAAA